TACGCAAGAAATTTGGCAAATTCTGATATCTGTATATGTGGGAACTCCTGATCATTACACATTCTCATGCCCCTTAACTGCGGATATTTCGCATAAAATCCGCAAGAACTGACCTCCTGGCATTCTAAAGGTTTTTAATTAAAGATAAACATCAGTATCCAAAGTTTCAGAAAATTATGCAACCACTCTCTTCCTACGGCCTAGATCTCTGTCAAGTGTAAGTCCACATACTGCATAAACTTAGTGAACTTTTACATGCTGTGATTATGGACAAAATGGCTCCGCCCGTGAACTTTATAAACTGCAATAAACCAATGTATCTGAAATAACCCATGGACACCTACCTCTTTAGCATTATTATTAGTAAAATTCATTTTAACATTGTGTTGCCAGTACTAATTTATAATTATCTCATTATGTTTATCTCCTATTTTTCTTGCACCAAATCAGATGTTCAATTTATCTTGTGAATCTCGCATTGTATTCCGACTATTTTGTAATCTACTCATGTCCTACATCATTATTTTTAATAAATATTGGATGCGGGGTATACTGTGGGATTGCACGATGTACCATAATAGGCAAACTCTAGACCTTTTGGAAAGCTTCAGTCTATGTAAATTCTTATAAAACTTGCTATTCCCCCCTTTTTACTTCCTTGTACGAAGTAAAAAGGAAGTATTGTAATCGCGAAAAGTTTCAGGCAGCATATTTCAACAAAAATATCCATTTTGACCGCTATCGAATGCAATTTAACGATGTTTTTGCGTAATATCTGTACGTAAGGACAGAATAAAATACTCTTTTCCTCCAAAAAAATTATAAAACTGCTTTAAAATGAATTCTGAAGAGAATTTTTCGTGGCGTCTGTACGAACGTATGTACGTACGTGCGTGCGTACATACGTACGTATCTCGCATAACTCAAAAACGTGTAGCCTCAGAACGTTGAAATTTTGTATATAGGACTGCTATAACATGTAGATGTGCACCTCGTATTTTGGTTGCAATCGGCCGCACCAAACGTATATAAATATATTTATATATATATCCAATCTGTTACCCGGCTCAGTGATCTGTTTTTTTACTCTTATATGTTTGTAAATTGGACATTTTTTGCTTTAAAAATTATTGCATTATGTTGTTTTTATCTTCCGGTTAAGGTTTTTATGCCTTTAGTAAATCTATGTGCAATATTTTTAGAATATAGAATATATATTCTTAGAATATTCTTAGAATTATCAACAATTTTAAAGTTGTCTAAGTGCCGCTAAGCCTTTTTTTAATGGCGGCCATTGATGTTTACATTTGAAACAGGAGACTAGTGGATTTGTTGCCAATCTAGAGAAACTTAGCTTCGCAACAACAAAGATAACGCATTCATTTATTATTGCCAATTAAATCATGCTTAATTCTTTTTGGAATTTTTTCGAGGAAATAAGTATTTGAGTTTACTTCGTAATTTTTAATACAGATATTTTGAGTTTTTATGTATTTTTGCCTTCTCGCGAAGTGAGAACTGAATTAATTAAATGAGAAATACTCAGTCGTCTGTGAAAAACTGTTTCTTTTTTGTTTTGTTTTCTTAATTTCTTTTATACATCTTTCTAGCTTTATTATAGTATTTGAATAGAACGAGTGTCAACGATTAGATAATTCTATTCTTTAAATGATATAAATTTTGTGCATTATGAGTTATAATATGAAGGATATATATACGTTAACTGTTATATAATTATTGGATTATATAACAGGTAACTTAGTTTCCGTTATATAATTATTATATAAGTTAACTGTTATATAATTATTAATACTGTTACGTGATTCTAGCGCCAGAGTGTCGCTATTGTCAACAAAGTGAATTTTAAAGAATGCATTTATTCTATTGTGGTTTATTCGTTGTCGGCGAAGTAGATTTAATTCAATCCAATAAGTTTAAATGAAATGCAAGAAAAAATGCGTTATAATTTAATATTAATTTAATATTCCAATTTAAATGTATAATATTTCCAATTTATAAATTCCAGGTACCGGTCATGTAGTGCACACATCAGATTTTTTAAAAGAGTAGTATGGGAAGGCATTACCAGTTGACCTATGGTACACCGCTTGGTGTCCCCCATACTTTTTTTACCTGTACCTGTACCTGACTTTGTGAGAGAGCCAGAGATTCTAACCAGCGCGCGTTCACCTTTTGGCTATACTCTTTCTAAAGCTATTTCTACGCTCGGCCGACTTTAGGCGGTTGATAGCTTCGTCGTTTAGTTAGCGTTAAGGTACCAACTCCTGTAGATTTGGGATAGCTTCGGCTATATCTTTTTAGTTAAGTTTTATTTCTTAGCAATTTTGAGTTCAAGCACAAGTAGAGGCTTTTCTGTACGTCCTGAGAGAGGACCGACTGTGAACTTTATTTGGGCAATGAAAGGTAATTAACCCTTCGTACGTTTACGTTTCCATCTTTCTGAACTAAGCGATCATTCGCTTTTCTTAAGGTTCCACATATTTAGTTGTAAATTCTAGGTTGGAACATTACAAGATAAATTAAAGATTTTATGCATTTCCGATTGTAATTATTTGAGAACTGATAATTTCGAATTGAAGTATATCTCTTGAAATGTTAATACTTTCCAAGTTATAAGAATAGTAAACACTTTGATAATTTAGCTGAATATCAGAGTTGAAAAGCACAACTTTTATGTCAAAATCATTGTTTAAATGTAGTATTTTAAATCATATTAAATGTACTCCAAATAACATCAGTTAGAACGAAATAAATTATTAAAATGTGTGCATATTTACTTTTAAATCGCTCGTTCAATCTGTGTGTTGTTTAAATCAAAGCTATGAGATTAAGATCTTACGAAACATTGAAAGGCATCAGATCTGAAAATTCACTATTTGCCAGACTACGTGACTGATAAATGCCTTGGCAGCATAACTTAGCGTAACTTAATGCAGCGGTAATTAAAAAATGAAAAAGGAAAGTTATAGGAGTTACTAATAGATAGCTGAAAGAAAAATACCTGGTATTTTAATAATTTTTTTAAAAAAATAAAAAATACTACGTTTGGCTTACGCTGTACAAAGGAATACAAGCCTCTTTTTACTCTTACACCCTATCGGAGACTGTACAGAAGACAGTATTCTAGAAGTTCATTTGCCATTTATTTTTACATATTGGTGAAATCTCTGTTGTAATATGATAAACAAGCTTCCCTAGGTAAAAAATGTAATACACATCGTTATTACCGTGTGGTGGACGCAGCACGAAAAGAAGCCCCGTGCCGCACGTGATCCGGGCAGACGGGACATATCACGTTCTGGCAGGTGTATCCCGTGCAGTGTCTAAGTTTTGTTTTCTCTTCCGGCCACTGTCTGGATTTAGGGCTCTGCTGTCGTCGTATCTGTGTTGGACGATTGCTCAGCTGTCTGGCTGTCTGAATTTCTGTGTACATGCGCTGTCTACACATGCAAGAAATATATCCAGTGGAAAAAGAGGACAACGTTGTGTAAACACTGTAAAATCTTAGTGTTTAAGCTTAACAATATTTTATCTGTCTGTAGAACTGCATAACCCTTTCAGCGGGAGCAAAAGAGAAATGTAACATTTCAAGTTGCAATTACGTTGTTGTTTTAGTTCTCACGTATTGTTTTGAGCATATATATCATGACCCATCATTATTATATGTCCAAAAAGGTTTAATTAAAATCGGTGAGTGAGAAGAAAAACAGGAAAAAAATTAATGAGCATTTGACCAGCGTTGAACATTGGGAGGCGGCTAACCTCCAACCGGCTAATCTTAGTTTGATGGCGAATTAACATCAACCTTTTTAATTTACGCAACAGACGTAAAAAACAGATTTATTTGAGAGTTAGGGTTGCTGAAATTCCTGCAATACCGGCTAGATGTGCTTACCGTAACAGCAGAATAATGCTCTAAATCTTTTTTTTTTTTTTTTTTCGTTGCTGTTGTTGTTTTGTTATGTAAATGCGTACAATCCGCAGAGCACATTACTTGTATGCATTTTCTGATTCGTTTTTTCTTTTTCAACCAAGGTTCCCTATGCAGCTTTTAGTGGCTTATTTTGTTTAAAGTACCCCCCATGTCGCGCAGACACTATACATTTACAAACATCCATGTATTCTCCGGGACTCGAATCCGACTCCTTCGGTGCAGCAGTCAGCGTCACTATCCCAGTTGGGCAGTCCAGAATCTGTTAAAAAAGTTAATGTCTTTTAATGCCGCCTAACGGACTAAACGGGAACTACAACCGTAGTTCATCTACATAATCGCCAGCAACAAAATATGGGAAGAATACGGAAAATCTGGTTAGTTACATTAACCATTGCATTGTAACCCTAGTTCACATTAGCACTGCAACTTATGATCTTTGATTTATGGGTTCGTTCCTTACTTCCATGTAGACCCTTACTTCATTCTGGACCATAAGACATTTCGATAAATATTTTGTCCGTGAAGCACATTTCATAACAGGAACTTTCAGGATATGAGGCTCAGGTCGAAAAGTTTGAAATATCAAGGTGGTTAATTCTGAGATAACTTTCTAGCTTCTTCTCTGTCATTCATTTCCATGTGAACGTATTGAACATGTACTGGGCGATTTTACAATATGTAGTGACAGTTGAGAAGTGGATATATTAGGTTCATTGAACTTTGGTGCACTCTATCATTCGACTAGTCTCCCAAAACTTAAAAAACTCTCCAATTTTTTTTATGTGCTCTTTTGTGTATTTTTCAAATTTCTTATATTTGTGTGTAAATTAGTTTTTGTACGTCGTTTCCTATTTTATGTCTAACATTTATTTGCCTTTTCAGTACATTGTGGAGCTCGCGAAATGTTCTAAAAAATAAAAATTAATAAATAAATAGAATAAAATAAATATTCTCTGAAAGCCTTAGAACGACTATAAAGCTTTCTGGGAACTTGTTTTACTTCTTCGTTTATTTATTCATAGTTCCATTTCTTTTCATCTTTCAGAATTTATTCGAGAGACTCGTTGTTGGAATGAAGACTTCCGGTTGGATTGTGAATATAACAGCGTTCTCGCATTTCACGAAGCGTACTTCACGAACGACGAGGCCGAAGTGAACCGCAGCACGTGTTCCGATGCCAAAGATGGCAAACTGCCCTGCACAGAAGATCTCAGGGAATCCATCAACAGACGGTGAGTGCCCAATATATTTTTTATTGTTATTTATGTTACAGAATATATGCATTTAATATATATAAAACCTTAAGAAAAAGAATATTAATTCATCTCTTTGTAACCACTTTTTTTTTTTTTTTTTTTTTTTCTGTACATATGTAATTTGGTGGCTAATTAAGATACAGATGGTACAAATTACACTCATGTCCATAAATTAAGGATAATGCAAAATCAGGCAAAGGAAGAGTTACAAGCAAAACAAATTTGACTTATTTATTAAAAAAAGCTGATTTATTAAACAAAAGGTAAAGAGCAAAAAACGATGCTATATGTTTGATATTATTAAAAAAATTAGCGAATTTTCTCCTTGGAGCAAATTATAAAAAAAAACCTATTTACAAAAAACCAATATTACATGGTTGATATGATTGTTAATACATTGTATGTCTCCCAGACCATGCAATACAGTCCGTACAACGCCTAGGCATGCTGAGTATCAAATTATCGATCTGATCTTGGGGGATATTACACCACTCAAAAAGCAATGCACTCCGAAGTTCCGGTAGACATGTAGGAGGAGGTTGACGGGCTGCAACTCGTCGGCCAAGCATGTCCCACACGTGCTCTACTGGATTCAAGTCCGATGAGAATGCTGGCCAGTGCATACGGGTGATATCCTCCGATTGAAAGCATTCGCTTACGATGTTTGCACGGTGAGGATGGGCGCGTTGTCATCCATAAACACAAATTGTGCGGCCCATGGCGCCCCGAAACAAATGTACATGTTGTTCCAGAAAAGACGTTCCGATAGATTTGGCTTGTCATGGTTCCAATTTGAACATGCAGGTCAGTTCTGGAACCCAGAAAGAATATTCCACCCCAAACGAGCACTCCTGCACCACCGTAACGGTGTTGTTCAATGATGTTTTCTTGGTGGTAACGGGTACCTGGAGCTCTCCATATGAAAGTCCGGCGAGAATCAGACTGCAAGCTAAACCTGGACTCGTCGGAAAACATCACACAACCCCACTGTTGCGGTGTCCACAATGCATGCTCTCTACTCCAGGCTAACCGCAGGCGACAGTGAGTTGCAGTAACGCATCTGACAGGTCTACGAGCATATAGACCAATCTGCCCTAAGCGTCTGTACACGGTCTGCCTTGAAATTGTCGTACCAGTGGCTGAAGAGAGCTGACGAGACAGGTCTGAGGCTGTGCTCCGCCTGCTTCTTTTGGTAGTAACTGCCAAATACCGGTCCTCATTCGGCTTTGTAAATCTGGGGCGACTTGTGCTGTAACGTCTACTCACATTACCATCATCTTGGAATCGTTGCAAAAATCTGGAGATGACACTCTGGGCAATTCCAAGTTCGTCTGATACTTCCAGTTGGGTACGCCCACATTCCAGACGGCCGATAATTCTACCACGTAAAAAATCATCCAAATGCGTCCTTTGTGTCATAACTATTCGGTTATTGCACTGAAATGCTTATAAAGCGCCTGCGAACAATTTTACTTCTTCTTTGCCTGTATTCCTTATATATCACTCTCTTACACTCTCGTCATTGTGACGTACCATCGGTGTCATCTGGTTACTTCCTGAAATTTGCATATGATTCTTGAAGATGTGTGTAGTGATTTTACAGGTGATATATTTATTTTAGAGTTCGGTTTCCGCGTAACTCCGAATTATCCTTAATTTATGGACATGAGTGTAGATTAGTACAAATAACTAATACTGCTAGTTAACTTAGTCATCGCATGACTCGAGTTAGATGGTTAAAATTTTAAGTAATATTAACAGTAAATGTGCATATAATGCGATGATAAATATTCTAATGTATCCCGGTGGCGCAGTGACTAGCGCGTCGTGCCAAAAAAAAAAAAAAAAAAAAAAATAAAAAAAAAAAAAAAAAAAAAAAAAAAAAAAAAAAAAAAAAAAAAAAAAAAAAAAAAAAAAAAAAAAAAAAAAAAAAAAAAAAAAACAAAAAAAAAAAAAGCACCAAATGTCCGGGGCTCGATTCCCGGGCTGGGCAAGGTTGATTCAGCTTTTCATCCCTTGAGTGGGTTGATAAAATGAGTACCAAGTTCGCTTGGGGTCTAAACACCGGAGGTCCTGCTGACCGCTTTTTCAGGGCATATACTCACTTATGCTATATATATATTAAAATAATTATATATTAATGTATATTTGTTGCCTTAACTTGTTTTTAAGAATTTATCATTAAAATCGTCCATTACATTTATTTCCTTTTTCGGTTAATCTTTAGATTATGGTAACTTGGCGATTTTTTGGCGAAAATTTGGCGACCAACCCTGCTACAGCAACCTGCTAATTTTTGTTTGGACGCCATTTTGTTTTCACGAAGTAGAGGCATGTTTTTTTTTCCTCAACATTTTTTATCCAACAATCTGCTAGCCGAATTACGCTTATGCTAGAACTTTTATGGAACGAAAGTGCTTAATCATGACGAAGATTAGGTGCGAAATTGTGAGAAAGTGCAGAATCGCAAACTGCTTGCCGCGTTTTTAAGAATTGCACATACACGGTATCCATGTACACGTCAATCAATTTTCACTTAAAAAAAGTCCCAGAATTGCACAAAAATGGCATTGCGCACACTCTTGACCTTATCCATGTACACTGCTAATGTCCTAGCTAGTAACCTTTATCGCCTTACCAAAATGTCGCCAAACTACCTGTTACCATATTCCAAAGATTAGCGCCTTTTTCTTTAAAATTTAGTGATCAATAGTTCTTCTAGAACTACATTTGAAAGAGAAAATCTAAATTCAGATTAATTAAAACTGAAGGATTTGGTATGTAATGGGGGGTTGGGAGGGATGGCAAAAAAATGGTAATTTCCCGCTTTTACCACGAAGGTTGGGTGTTCTGCTGTCGTCGCTCACATAACTCACCATCCTATATACTATGTCCACAAGGTGGATGAACACATATGCAATTACATATTCCATGTGTGATTACTGTTCGGTCTGAATGTTCAAAATCTTGGAGAAAGTAATAAAACACCGTTTAATTTTTTGAACCGGGATTTATGAAGCAATCAAATCATTGATCATTTGCTCCAGATCTGATTGCCGATTTATATGCTGGTTGTACAAATTTTACTGTGAATTTACCTCACACAAATTATAAATAAACTGCTTTCCTTTATAATAACCACCTCGAAAAGGTTAACATAAGCTATATGCTTAAGACCAAATAACACGCCGAATAAATACTAATTCAGAAGTCAAACAACAAAAATCAGCGTTATATTTACCAAATTTTCACAGGACTAGTTTCGATGGTTTTACCGAACCACCATCTTCAGCTGCAAAACCGCAAATGAACCAGATAGGAAGTAATGATTAGATAAGATAAGAAAAGCCTGGACAAGACAAGAATAAGCAAGTGGCGCCATCTGTTGGTGAAACCAGAACTAAAACATAATTTCTCTAAAGGCCGAAGGCAAATTTGGATTGGAATTAGGATCGTTAACTAGAACAGAAAAGAAAGATTTTTATGAATGTGAAATGCCTCTAGAAAATCCAGTTCTCCAATGGAAGATGTTTTTTGATAATTTTGGCAGCAGAAAAACAGAAAAACTGAAAGTGTGGTTTTCGGACCAACAATGTTGAGCAACAGAAGACTTCTGTGTTTCTTTTTTTCTAACATATGCCTCATGTTCCTTGACGCGAAATTTTAAGGCTCTCTTAGTTTGGCCAATGTAAATTAAACCACACTGGCAAGGAATCCTGTAAATACCCCAGGAATTCATATCCGGAATGGGGTCCTTGATTATGGAACTCGGAATTTTATTGATGGGAGAATAAATAAAAACAACCCGAAAGTTAAATTTCTGCAAAAACATGTGCAACTTTATAGCTAATTGATGGAAAGAAGGGAATGACAACAGAATTTTATAATCTCCTAAAACAAGAGTGTGCCTTTTAGTGTGTTGAGATGAGAATTTTTTAACTGCTTGATTAATAATGTTGGGTGGAAAGCCCCTGTCAATAGCTATTGCTTTTAAATAATTTAGTTCTTCATCAAGGGCTAGTTTGGAGGAGCAAACTTGAAGAGCACGGAAAACATAGGAATAAAAATGAAGCTAACTTTTGTTTAGTCGGATGACATGATTTAAAAAGTGTGGTGGAAGGCAAACCGATGAAGGTTACGGTAAACCGTAGTACTGAGTTGGATGTGTTACGTGTGACCAAGAATGTCGAGAAACGGAAGAGAATTCGCAAGTCCTCAAGTTCAAAAGTGAACTGAATAGCAGGATCAATAGAATTCATTGTTGAAAGAACTTTATTTAAAAATCATCTTTATTACCTTCAAACAGAGTAAAAGTATCGTCTACGTAGCGGGAACCATGCCGGGAAGTTTAAAGTTTCAAACAATTTTGATTCATAATAATGCATGTAGATATCAGCCAGGATGGGACTGAGGGGGCTTCCCATGGGCTAATCCCTCAGTTTGCTTGTATATTTTATTTGGAAAACAAATGTGTTTGTTTCAAACAGAGTTGAGTGAGAGAAATTAGCTCATCAATTTCGATGCAAGAGAAATGAAATTCGCGAAGTCTGGTTTCTAGACATCTTAATGCACCCTCCACTGGGACATTGGTGAATAATGATTTTACATCAAAAGAAACCATGAGTAAATTTACTAGGAGAAATGTTTTTAACTTTTTTACAAACTCTATTGAATTTTTTATGGTGTAAATGTTATTGTCTAATAGAGTTGAAAATCTAGAAACTAAATATTTAGCTAATGGATACGAGGAGGCAGTACCTAAATTTGATACAATAGGGCGGAAAGGGAATACCACTTTTATGAATTTTGGGAAGAGCATATAATCTGGCACAATTCGCAACAGATGGGATGAGTGAATGTTTAAGTTGCCTGAAATGATTTGCGAAGATTTGATCGCAGTTTTATTTTGACAAGTCCGAAGGTGAAGGATCTTTAGGGATCGGATTATATGGTCCTTCGTTTAAGAGTTTAGTGAC